CTCAGCCAGGCACGCTGGCTCAGGAATTCTGGGAGTTGAAGTCCACGAGTCATGAAGGGGCCATATTTCTCCCATGCTGGCTCAGGAATTCTGGGAGTTGAAGTCCACGAGTCATGAAGGGTCCATAGTTCCCCCATGCTGGCTCAGGAATTCTGGGAGTTGAAATCCGCAAGTCATGAAGGGGCCATAGTTCCCCCATGCTGGCTGAGGAATTCTGGGAGTTGAAGTCCATAAGTCATGAAGGGTCCATAGTTCCCCCATGCTGGCTCAGGCATTCTGGGAGTTGAAGTCCATAAGTCATGAAGGGGCCATAGTTCCCCCATGCTGGCTGAGGAATTCTGGGAGTTGGTCCCCAAGTCATGAAGGGGCCATGGTTCCCCCATGCTGGCTGAGGAATTCTGGGAGTTGAAGTCTACAAGTCATAAAAGGGCCAAGTTTGAAGACACCTGTTTTAGTGCCTCCTTTGAAGAATTGTTCTAAGGCTGACTGTTCTACTGTTCTCTCTCTCTCTCTCTCTCTCCCTCCCTCCCTCCCTCTCTCTCTACTTTCGACTACCTTGAATGCCGTACAGCCGGTTGAGACGCGACCGCCGCCCTTCATCGGCGTAGGGGATCGATAACCAGGGCATCTCGCTGAAATACTGTTTGAACGACTCCTCCGACCTGCAGGGGACACAGGAATCAGAACAACAGAATAACAGAGTGGGAGGGGACCTTGGAGGTCATCTAGTCCAACCCGCTGCTCAGGCACGAGACCCTATATACCATTCCAGACAAATGGCTGCCCAATCTCTTCTTGAAAACCACCAGTGTTGGAGCATTCACAGCTTCTGGAGGCTTCACATGATCTTGATTCTCTGCCTCTATTAATGCAGCCTAGCACTGTGTTGGCTTTTTGGGCAGCTGCAGCAGACGGCTGACTCCTGTTTAAGTGATTGTCCACTAGGACTCCGAGGTCCCTCTCACAGTTGCTACTATTGAGCCATATTCTACACCTGTGTATTTGGTCGGTCTTCCTTCCTTCCTTCCTTCCTTCCTTCCTTCCTTCCTTCCTTCCTTCCTTCCTTCCTTTTCTTCCTCCCTCCCTTTTTATCCTTCACTTTTTTCTTCCTTCCTCTTTCATTTTCTTCCGCATTTCTTTCATTTCCCCTCTCTCCTTCTTCCTTCCTTTGTCCCTCCCTTCCTGTCTCTTTCCTTCCCTCCTGCCTTCCCTCCCTCCACTTCACTTATTTTCTTAACCCCTTCCTCGCTCCCTCCCTCCCTTTCCTTCATTCTCCAAATCTTTCTTCCTTCTTTCTTCCTCATTTTCTCTTCTCCTCTCTTCACTTTCCTTCCTCCTTCTCTCCTTTCTTTCCTCTCTTGCTCTCGTCCTCCCTCTTTATTCCTTCCTCCTTCCTTCCTTTCTTTTTCCTTCCCTTTTCTTTTCTTCCATTTCTCTTTTCTTCCCCTTCCTTCCTCCCTCCCTCCCTCCCTCCCTCCTTCCCTCTCTTTCTCCAATACTCAACTGATCTCCAATTCCACCCAGGTAATAAAAGGGGCTAAAAGCAAAAACAGGATTTATGCCCTTCCGTTTGGGATTCGTGGTGCAATTCGTACTTACCTGTCGGCACTAACGAAGATAATCTCGAATTTTTGACCAGCTTCTTTGATTTTCCGGTAGGATTCCACCAGAACCCGAGTCAGGCTTCTACAAGGCGGGCACTGCAGAAAGAAAAAGCAAAATAAAAATAAAATTAAAATTAAGCCAAACAGCCGAGGAATTAGGGAAGCTCTTGATATACTACAAAAAAGACATTTTTTTTGTCCCTTTCTCTCCAAGTGACAGAAATAACTAGAATAATATGGGATGCAGGCTGGCAAACCGATACACGCAGAGGACTAGAAACTTAAGTGGATTTTCCCTCACCAAAGTGCAGGGCTCCTAGGAAATGCAGACACAGAAGCCCCACTACAAGCTAACGATGAATCAGGAAACAGGGAGTCCTCAACTTACGACGTTTCATTGAGTGACCATCCAAAGTTACAACGGCACTGAAAAAAGTGACTTACGACCGTTTTTCACACTTACGACCGTTATAGCATCCCCGCGGTCAGGTGACCAAAATTCAGATGCTTGGCAATTGACTCATATTTATGACGGTCGCGACCTTCTGACCAGCAAAGTCAACGGGGGTAAGCCAGATTCACTTAACAACTGTCTTGCTGAATTAAGAACGGCGTTGATTTGCTTAACGACGGTGGCAAGGAAGGTCATAAAATGGGTCAAAATTTGTTTCACAAACGTCTCGCTTAGCAACAGAAATTTTGGGCTCAATTGTGGTCATAACTTGAGGACTACCTGTAAGGATTCAGAAGTCCGGTCACATGACCTGTTTCCCCCCACCCCCCGGAACCATCAGATCTTTGAGTCCAGGTCATAAGTCATAAGTCGAGAATTGCTTGTAAGTTGGATTCATCTGCATAGGCCCACTGTTCGCTCGTGGAACTCATTGCCACTGTATATGGAGTGGTGGGCAGAGTGAGGTCCAGCGTTCATGTGGCTGTTTGCAATGGGAACGCCCTGGAGCCTGAAGCTGAAACTAGATTTTTGCAATTTCAAGGAATAACAATAATAATAATAATAATAATAATAATAATAATAATAATAATAATAATAATAATAATAATAATAATAATAATAATAATAATAATAATAATAAAGTTGGAAGGGACCTTGGAGATCATTTAGTCCAACTCCCTGCTCAGGCAGGAAACCCCTATACCATTTTGGACAAATGGCTTTCCAGTCTCTTCTTAAAAACTTCCAGTGAGGACAAATTCAGGGAAAACTCGGATTCAAATGGAGACCCCAGAGAAGAAGGGGGGGGGGCTTACCCAGTGCGCAGAGAAGTAAACCCCGACATGGGAGCCTTCCAGGACGCTGCTCTCGAGGGGAGGCCCGCTATTTCGGAGAAGGGGGCCGGCCACCACCTCGCCGAACGGCCGAGGACCCCAAGGGAACTCCAGCCCTGGGGGAGGAAAGCAGAAAGAAGGGAGGGGGTCAAGAGAGGCTGCTGAGAGGTATGGTTATTGATTGAATTAATTAAAATTCCATCCATCTCTCACCATGAATGAGTCTCAGATGGATCTAGTGGTTAAGGCAATAGGTTAGAAACTAGGAGAGGGTGAGTTCTAGTTCTGCCGGATGGATGACTTTGGGCCAATCACCAGGAGACGGTGAGTTCTAGTCCCACCTTAAGCATAAAGGCCAGCTGGGTAACTTTCGGCCAATCACCAGGAGACGGCGAGTTCTAGTTCTGCTTTAGGCACAAAAACCAACTGAATGACTTTGGGCCAATCACTAGGAATCAGTGAGTTCTAGTCCCGCCTTAGGCACGAAAGTCGGATGGGTGACTTTTGGCCAATCACCAGGAGACGGTGAGTTCTAGTCCCGCCTTAGGCATGAAAGTCAGATGGGTGACTTTCAGCCAATCATCAGGAGATGGTGAGTTCTAGTCCCGCCTTAGGCATGAAAGTCGGATGAGTGACTTTTGGCCAATCACCAGGAGACGGTGAGTTCTAGTCCCGCCTTATGCATGAAAGTCAGATGGGTGACTTTCAGCCAATCATCAGGAGATGGTGAGTTCTAGTCCCGCCTTAGGCATGAAAGTCGGATGGGTGACTTTCGGCAATCACCAGGAGACGGTGAGTTCTAGTCCCGCCTTAGGCATGAAAGTCGGATGAGTGACTTTCGGCCAATCACCAGGAGACGGTGAGTTCTAGTCCCGCCTTATGCATGAAAGTCAGATGGGTGACTTTCAGCCAATCATCAGGAGATGGTGAGTTCTAGTCCCGCCTTAGGCATGAAAGTCGGATGGGTGACTTTCAGCCAATCATCAGGAGATGGTGAGTTCTAGTCCCGCCTTAGGCATGAAAGTCGGATGGGTGACTTTCGGCCAATCACCAGGAGACGGTGAGTTCTAGTCCCGCCTTAGGCATGAAAGTCGGATGGGTGACTTT